AGATATGTATTACAAACATGTACCATTGACACAAACAGTATATTGATTGTGGTGGTATAAACGTCTTTCAGAAGCTGGCGAAGCATGATTAGAATTAATTGCACTTGTCATATATATATATTAACGTTATATTCTTTATCTAGTCCATTGGGGATTTTCAAGAGTGTATAGTAATAATATTCCAACTGCCCGCTATTCGTAATATCTTCTACTGACCTGAAACGTTCTTCATTGAGCGAAACGCCTATTATAGGCCTGTTAGGCCTATTACATTTTTAACAAAACACCACGTTCTTTATCTATTTGCTTAGCTATTTTCAAGTATTAGAAGAGTGCATAATAATAGCAGGTATTACAAATACAACCACGTAGTTTCTTGTGAAATAGTTATCTTTCATCACTGGGTGTCTGGCAGGCAGTTTGGTTTCTTATGAAATAGTTGTCTTTCATCACTGGGTGTCTGGCAGACAATTTGGTTTCTTGTGAAATAGTTGTCTTTCATCACTGGGTGTCTGGCAGGCAGGCTTATCTTGTTAAACTGGTATCCAGCTTCAGTGGGTATGTGGGAGACAAGTTGGTCTTCTTAAATCGGTGTTCAACCTCACTGGTTGTCTGATAGACAGGCCGTTGTTTTTAAATCAGTGTCTAACTTCACTAGGTTTCTGGAGAATAGCCTGATTTTCTTAAATCGGTGTTCATCCTCACTGGTTGTCTGATAGACAGGCCGTTGTTTTTAAATCATTGTCCAACTTCACTAGGTTTCTGGAGAATAGCCTGATTTTCTTAAATTGGTGTCCAGCTTTACTGTGTCTGGCAGAAAGATTGATCTTGTTAAATTAGTGTCCAACTTCACTAGGTTTTTGGAGAATAGCCTGATTTTCTTAAATCGGTGTTCATCCTCACTGGTTGTCTGATAGACAGGCCGTTGTTTTTAAGCCAGTCTCCAACTTCACTAGGTTTCTGGAGAATAGCCTGATTTTCTTAAATTGGTTTTTAGCCTCACTGGAGGTCTGACAGAAAGGCTGGTGTTGTGAAAGCGGTATACAGCCTCACTAGGTATCTGTTAGACAGGCTAATCTTGTGAAATCGGTGCAGTAAATACTTGATTCGGTCTAAATCCAGTTTTTTACTTGTTCTGTCGATTCGAACCTGTTTTATCCAGGTGTCCAAGCAACCAGTTACCATGCCACTGGTTTGGAAGCAACTCCACATTTTGCTAACAATACTTTAAAGTATTTGCGGTTAATTCGCAAGGCACTCATTACGCGGCTTTCATTCTCTGATGGATTTTCTCATGGGTGAAATATCCAAGTGCCATCTTTGAGATATAATCATAGGTCGTGAATAATATAAAACAATTTAAGCTACACGAGTCACTTCAAAATAACAATTAAATTAATTAAAATATTCTATACAATGATCTCACAGTGATTGACCAATTATTGGTATTTCAGATCATTTGACGTATCATCAGATGTCCGATATACACGAAAATTAGCTGTGGATGGGTGACTGACATTACTTTATTTACTTTACATTACTTTACTTAGCTGTAGTAAAATAAATTCTGATCGTTCTTTAACTGTTTTATTTAGTTAACTTTATATTGGGAGCTGAATTTCTTATACCAAAAAAAATATAACGAAGATTCTTTTATGCATTTATTTTTCGTCTGGAAGAAAGAAATGCGTTATATTTGGCCATAAATGTATTGTTTCTATTGTTTTAATCACAAGCCAAACTACCCTTGAGGATAGTAAAGAGATGTTATTGTGTGGATATAGAAATGAAATTATTACGTATTTTATTGGGGGTTATCTTACCCTTAAAAACTGAAAGAGATCCGTTGTTTAGCAGAAATGAAATACCCGTGTGTTTTATCGGAGGTTATCTTGTTCTTAGTAAAAAAAAGAAAATAACTTATTATGTTTTGGAATGAATGAAATCTCGTATGTTTGAAACATTGTTTGAATTTACCTTGACGACAGATATTTAAAGAAGAATACAAAGCTTTAGTTATTTTGGAGCAAAACCGTATTGTACTATCCGCTATGTCAACCGCGGGGAATCGAACGCCGAAATTTAGCACTGTAAATCCGTATACTTACCGCTGTCACAACGGATGACAAATACAAAACTTCCAGACCTTTGTCAAATATATATATTTATAATTCATTGTTTGTTTGTTTGTTTTGAATTCGCGCAAAGCTACATGAGGGCTATCTGCGCTAGCCGTCTTTAATTTAGCAGTGAGGGAAGGCAGCTAGTCATCACCACCCATCGCCAACTCTTGGGCTACTCTTTTACCAACGAATAGTGGGATTGCCTGTCACATTATAACGTCCCCGCGGCTAAAAGGGGCGAGCATATCTAATGTGAGGGGGATTCGAACCCGCGACCCTCAGACTGCGAGTCTAGCGCCCTAACCACCTGCCCATGCCAGGCTTATAATTCATACTCCTTAACATTTCATTCCAAACAGATGGTTGGTACTGACTAATGAAAAACATCCACAGTTGCAAACGAACATGCTATTAAAGAAACCCTGGATGAGGTTTCTCACTTCAGATGTTATACTGAAAACGAGGCAGCAGGCAATGTTGGTTTAGCTGTTTGTTTTAGTGCAGAGTTGAACAATGAACTATCTGTGCTGTGTTCATCGTGAATATCGAACTCAAACTTTTATCGTTTAACCTCTTGCTGTTGAGCTACCATAGGGCACAAATTGTTAGAACCACCCAAAGCTTAAAATAACAACAACAAAAAAAATTAATATCACTTTGAAAAAGTACTACATATTTAAGTATTATATTTTTGTGATGGTTCAGAAAAAAATAGTTACAAACTAATCTAATTTGCTTCGAAACTTTTCTTCAAGATGATGGAGGCACTAAGACGATAGAAGTACCAGAGGAAAAAGCCAACCAGAAATGTATATTGGATGAGTGGACGATACCGTTGGGGAAGATTGGAGTAGAGGTAAGCGTTTTTATATTTATAGTTTGTTTGTTTTGAATTTTCGGGCAAAGCTGCTACACGAGGGCTATCTGCGCTAGCGGTCCCTAATTTAACAGTGTAAGACTAGAGGGAAGACACCTAGTCATCACCACCCACCGCCAACTCTTGGGCTACTCTTTTTACCAACGAATAGTGGGACTGACCGTCACTTTATAACGCCCCCACGGCTGAAAGGGCGAGCATGTTTGGTGGACCGGGGATTCGAACCCGCGACCCTGAGATTGCGAGTCGAGCTCCCTAACCACCTGGCCATGCCGGGCCATATTTATAGTTAAGCACAAGTGCGATAAATTTATTCATTTGCTTGCATAGGTTAAGGACATATTAAAATATGTAACAGATGTCATACTTTGTAGGTAAAATTATACTCTTAAAGACTAAAAAATGCATAATTGAGTATTTGGTGTGAAAAAAATCTCGTTAATCAAAATAACAAATAGCTATTTATATATAATATAAACGATATTTGTGTGATTATACAGACTAAGCAACGGCTGTGCGTATAAAATAATTAGTGCTTTTATGATTATCCAAAGTAAGCAACAGCAGTATGTATAATATAAACAATATTTATCTGAAAGTTCAGTGTAAAAAAATTAATGTATACTATCTGAGCGAGAGCGTAATTGATAGCAATACTTATCCGAGTGTTTTATGTAAACAATATACTTTTTTATGAGAGTGTACAGTTTGTTCATTGTTTAAAAGATGAATAAAACACGACCCATTACTCCTGAAAATATAATTCTTTTAATCTTGGCTTAGATCATTTCTCATGTGTCTTGTTTGCCTTGATAAAGTCGTAATGGTGAAATGTTGGTTTAAATAAAACACGACCCATTACTCCAGAAAACATAATTCTTATAATATTGGCCTAAATCATTTCTCATGTGTCTTGTTTGCCTTGATAAAGTCGTAATGGCGAAATGTTGGTTTAAATAAAACCATTTATGTTTTCTTGAGTATTATATCGTATTTTATTTATCTTTTTAACAATATAACTTCTTATTAATTATACTTGTCATAAGACATGAATGTTAGGCCTATTATATTTTCCAAACTGTCTGCCAGACGC